TTTTTTCCGGCTTATGGGGGTTGAAGACGGCGAAGTGGGGCAAGTACCACACGTTTAAGTCCGGCGCGCTGACTTCGGCTTCGTTCAGCTTTCTGGCGTACCCTCTTTCAAAATACTTGGACATTTCCTCTCTGTACCGCGTACGAAACTCGACGTCGCCTCTCATTCGTTTCTCCACTGTCCACAAGCGCTTTTCCGCCATGGCTCGACTGCTTGGCAATTTCGGCGGATACTCTTTCCACAGCAATCCGACTTCGTCCTGGTGTCCCACTTTTCTGGTCGTTTGTTGTAAAGTTGAACGTGCGCGCTTCTCTTCGTCTGACTCTAACTTCTGCGGCGACGGATTGACGCCAAAACTATCTGCTGTGAAATATTCTTTTATTAAATCGTTCAGTGTTGCTGCAATTCTCGCACGAGCAGAACGCGGGGGTTCAATGGTGATGGCAACTTCGTTGGACCATATGCAACCCAGCCAAGTGGAGTTTTCGCAGCCAAGGGACTATCGCTGCCGGCTTGCACAATCGCTGTGGTGGCACCGAGATGTGCGTGTTTTAACCAAATCAGCAACACTGGTTTTGCACGATAATAGTTCAAAATGGGCAGATCTTTAAGATGATCGAAATTTTCTTTTCTTAGTGACTGTTCGGGTAAATTCAAGTTTTTTACCGTGTACACATCTTTAAGCGCAAATCTATTCCTGTTAGTGCAGTTCTCGATTTCAACGGCAACCTTACTGGCTTGCTCGGTTACCATTTTATCGTCATACCACTGCAGCGTGAGTGGATGTACATCGCCTTTAGCACCGATCATATTTGCTACGCCGGCCTCCATTATCGACACTGACGAACCTTCGTCAAGCATGGCGAGGACTTCCTGCTTGCCGTCCGGGCCGTAAATATTAACCGGTAACATTTTAAATAGCAAGCCTTGCGAAATTTGTGTTACCCGACAATTTAACAGTGGCTGCACAGCGGCATCCAATTGCGTGACTCGACGTGACGTTTGGTCAGCTGCTTTCTCATTGTGCAGTAGCTGGTTGTGGTATCGTTGGCATCCATTCACCTCACACTTTCGCCTTGACCGACATTTCTGGCGTGCAGTGGCCCTTGCGCAAACATGAAAAACATAATTGCTGTACTTTGACTAGTTCCCACCGGTCCTGAACGCCTATCGACTTGACGACTCACACTGTGCTATCATATGGCTTCCGCTGCAGTGGTAACACTTTAAAGTCTCTTTCGCTCGGTTGATATGCATAAGGCGACGCGGATTGTTCGGCGCAGCATTTTGTTTGCTGCTTTGTGTGCTTGTTGTCGGCATTAGACAAATTATCCTTGCCAAGTCGCTGAGCCACTCCGAAAAATGTTCGATTGTTGGATAAGGCGAGATGGTCGCAGCGTGCTTCGCCCAATCGAATTGTCTGGTTTGCGGCAGCTTGATAATCATTTCCTCAAGCAACGTTACGTTTGACAAATGTTGTTGACAATTCGCGGACTTCAGAAACGCCACCACATTACGGACTTTTGACGAAAACGGTATAATCCTTTCGACTTTGCTTTCAGGTATTGGCGGGAACTGCTGCAATTGGCTTATTTGCCCTTTAACCAAAATGTCGGGCCGACCAAACCGAAACTCAAGCTCACGCATCACGTTCGGCACATCATTCGGAAAAATTAACATGGCCGCCACTGCCTCTTTTGCCGGGCCAACCAGACATTTTTGCAACCGCATTAAATTTTGCCGGTGGCTGTAACGAAACGCCTGTGTCGTGGCGTTGAAATTTGCGTAGAACAATGGCCATTCTTCAATATTACCGCCAAACGTAGGCAAGTCGTACAACTTTATGTGCGAACCGGTATCCTCCACGACAGCCTGGCGTTGTTCGTCTTGTGCTGGCTGCACACTACTCCCACTTACACTTTGTGGCTGCATACCCTCGCGTAATCGTACAATGTCCCTTTGGCTATCTTCGGTACTTTGTCGAAGCTCCTCCACTGAAGCCCGTAATGCGTTCAGCGTGGCAATAATGGCGTTCACATTTTCTTTGTACTTTCGAACGACGAATCACTTTCGCTGGTTTGTCTGCTATCTGCCTTTTCTGTCGCTCGATTCCGTAAAAAATATCTCCTCGGCTCCGACATGCAACTACTCCAGCGAGTGCAGTTATTTCCGTTACCCGTATTTATCTGGTGATCTTGCGAAGCGCACAAGTGTAAAAACTGTAAGAAATGGCTCACCGCATACGTTCCACGGAAATTAAATAAACTTTGCTAACGCTTATGTATATGCTTATTTATTGAAGCTTAACAAAAAACATGAAATTTAAATTTATCGCTTGAATATAAAATGATACGCTATATGACTCGTTTTACACTTGTGTGTTTCGTGCGCCTCGCTTAAGCTGCCATCGATGTATCTCTAGAATTTTCATTTGTCAACTAAACTATGTTCACATATCAATATTATCTCAATCAAAGCTCGATTTTTAATCACCCCGTTTACACAGGCAAATCTCAGATTATTAGCCGTCAAATTTGTTGTGCTTGTTATTCTCACATCTCAAGGAAAATTTTTGTTTCTTCTCTGTGCCACCGTGATCACGTTTTTCTTCTATAATAAGCAATATAAATATATTTTAACTTAACATTTTATTAAAAATACCTTTACAAACCTCTTTTACTTGCTAGCGTACATTTTTGTTTACTTTTACATTTGGCATTTCTCCTCTCTTTCGCAAAAACAATCGATAAAACTAGGATGGACACCGAAAAGTTATCGGTTAAATCTGAGATTATTTTATAATTACAGATTAACAAGGGACGAATTTTATATGGCTAATCTCTTGTTATAATTACAGATTAGGGTGTTAAGCTCGAAAATGAGGATAATCGACTTATGTGTGAACCTAGTATTAGCTGCTGTCCATCAATTCGGTGGCGGTAGCGTTGCCACCTACAAAAATATATTACAGGGTGCCTAACATCCCACCCCCCGTGAATCCTCCTGGCATTCACCATCAACTTCTAGTCTGGCTAGTCGGGATGCGGGCCTACGTAGGAGTCCACCGGCCGTTTTCACCTCTACGACTCGCACTTGCCCGTCTTTAGCTGGGAAAACCTGAGTGATACGGCCTCGTTGCCATTGCCTGCGGGATAGCTTTGCATCACATACTATCACCAGGTCATTCACTTTCAGTGGCGTAGCTTTATCTTGCCACTTTGTACGACGCAAAAGTTGGGGCAGGTACTCCGTAGTCCAGCGCAGGCAAATTTGCTCATTAACAGGGTGTGGTGTCTGCGTGGAATTTACGCAGCCGAGCAGGAAGTGGTTCGGCGTAAGCGGCTCGTCATCTTCATGTGACACGGGTAAATCGGTTAAAGGGCGAGAATTAATAATGTTCTCCGCTTCTATTAGCACGCTTTG